CATTTCATAACACACTCTGGGATGCATATTTGAATACCTCAAGGGACATTGCCTCTTGTGCGGCAAATGAGGCGTTAAAAAAGGACGTGTGATAGAATAAATTACCAACAAGGAAGTTACTTTATGACGCGAGTATTATTGAATAACTTCTCGAGTTATTTTGCGTTGTCTCGTAATTATTTCATATCATGACCGATTATATTTTTGTATTTGCTTTTCAGCTGGTGATTGCAATGTTGGTTCCAAGGTCACCTATAGACAATATAGTGATACCATAGTAAACCACACCATCGTTGGCCCCATCATGTCATCTATTACAGCCAAGAATGAGAGAGAATGTGAGATGGAACGTCACCTGGCTGTACCAGACATGTGCTACATGTTCAACTACTATCCCTCGTCTAAGGTTTGTGAGCTGCTCTACAAGGATCGTGCGGCAGAATACAAGGTGGAGAAGAAAAAAGGATCTAAAGTCAAGACACGAAAGGTTAGGGAAACATGTCTATCTATAACATGTCTATACCAATCGACAGATCATTCCTTAGTATATACTCAATTGAAGAATCGTTGTCGGGTTCAGAAACATATAACATAGAAGCTTAGACCGAAATGGCACATGGGAAGTACGTTAATTAGATGTATGCTGTGACCGGCGACCCGTGGCATCATTCACTGTTTTTAATACGCGTTTGACGTTCTAAACCGACTGCATGGATGGCGCAAATGAATAAATTATAATATTTTTATGTAATTTGTATGTGCCATTTCGGTCTCAGCTTTTATGTTCTATGTTTCTGAACCCGACAACGATTCTTGTGACAACGATTGAGTTTATACGATCGCGAGTTAAAAAGATAGTTCATCAGTTAACGCAGCTTATGAAGCAGGGTCATGTGACCACCTATTGGTTTGACATTCATTTTTCAAGTTTACCTAAATTAAACATTTGGGCCACCAAGGTTAAGTTTTGTCGAGATACGCGATGAAAACGAATTCTGGATTAGACTTTTTGAGTTTACTGTGTTATATGAGGATAAGCCATTTACCTCATTCACGCATTCGAGCAATTCATCAGCTTTATGTCTTTCTGGTCGACTTTAGTTTGTGTAGCACGATCCTTGCATTTAACTTGTAAATAACTATAAATAAAAATACCAGAACTATGTTTTTTCCACAAATTGTTAATTTCTGACGCGCTGATTGGCTATTACGTCTTGACCAATAAGAAGACAGATAAATAAGCTGACGTCAACGAGCGCCCGCTCTTTCCATTGGTTGTTTTGATCACCAAAAAAAAAACGCCGAAAAAGAATGCGTGTTAGTGATTTTTTTTTTGTGGTGAAAAACAACAAAACAAATCAAGTTCCTTTTTCTATATGATCTGTACTGTTATTGAACATGGATTGGCGTCAGCATATAATCCAAACATCGCTGCGCTCGTGGCTCCACTTGAATTTGGATCATATACTGACGCCATTCCATGTTCGATAAGAGTACAGACCATAAAAATGGGACCTCGATTTGCTAAATAAACTATAGTTGAAAGACAAGACAAATACGCATACAAGGCACGAATACAGTCGTGACACGGTAATGGATACATATCTCAATAATTTACTCTACATCCAATCAAATACCCGGAACACGACACAAACGCGGTTCGGACTTGGTCACGCCACGCTATTTTCAATAGCTTAATCAAGCCAATCTTGTTATATGGTAGCGAGGTCTGGGGTGTGGAAACAAAGAAAAATTTAAATATAGATCCACTAGAAAAAGTGCAAATAAAATTTGGTAAAATGCTTTTAGGAGTAAGTAAAAAAGCGTCTAATAACGCATGCCGAGCAGAATTAGGGCTCTTCCCAATAAGAGT